AAGCACTCAGATGTTAGAAACGCCGTTTCTCAGATATCTGACTGTTAGGCCTATGGAAAGAACAAGCACACAGATGTTACAAACGCCGTTTTTCAGATATCTGACTGTAAGGCCTATGGAAAGTACAAGCACTCGGATGTTAGAAACGCCGTTTCTCAGATATCTGACTGTCAGGGCTGTGGAAAGTACAAGCACTCAGATGTTAGAAATGCCGTTTGTCAGATATCTGACTGTTAGGCCTATGGAAAGTACAAGCACTCAGATGTTAGAAACGCCGTTTGTCAGATATCTGACTGTCAGGCCTGTGGAAAGTACAAGCACTCAGATGTTAGAAACGTCGTTTGTCAGATATCTGACTGAAAGGCCTGTGGAAAGTACAAGCACTCAGATGTTAGAAACGCCGTTTGTATGATATCTGACTGAAAGGCCTGTTGACCGAACAAGCACTCAGATGTTAGAAACATCGTTTGTCAGATATATGACTGTAAGGCCTGTGGAAAGTACAAACACTCAGATGTTAGAAACTCCGTTAGTATGATATCCGAATGTAAGGCCTGAGGAAAGTACAAGCACTCAGATGTTAGAAACGCCGTTTGTATGATATCTGACTGTAAGGCCTGTGGAAAGTTCAAGCACACAGATGTTAGAAACGCCGTTTGTATGATATCTGACTGTAAGGCCTGTGGAAAGTACAAGCACTCAGATGTTAGAAACGCCGTTTGTGAGATATCTGACTGTTAGGCATGTGGAATATACAAGCACTCAGATGTTAGAAACGCCGTTTGTCACATATCTGACTGTAGAGCCTGTGGAAAGTACAGGGAGACAATAGTTAGAAACGCCGTTTGGAGGATATCTGACTGTAAGGCCTGTGGAAATTACAAGCACTCAGATGTTAGAAACGCCGTTTGTCAGATATCTGACTGTAGGGCCTGTGGAAAGAACAAGCACTCAGATATTAGAACGCCGTTTGTATGATATCTGACTGTAAGACCTATGGAAAGTACAAGCACTCGGATGTTAGAAACGCCGTTTCTCAGATATCTGACTGTTAGGCCTATGGAAAGAACAAGCACTCACATGTTAGAAACGTCGTTTATCAGATATCTGACTGTAAGGCCTGTGGAAAGTACAGGCACTCAGATGTTAGAAACGTCGTTTGTCAGATATCTGACTGTAAGGCCTGTAGAATGTACAAACACCTAGATGTTAGAAACGTCGTTTATCAGATATCTGACAGTAGGGCCTGTGGAATGTACAAGCACTCAGATGTTAGAAACGCCGTTTGTATGATATCTGACTGTAAGGCCTGTGGAAAGTACAGGGAGACAGTTGTTAGAAACGCCGTTTGTAGGATATCTAACTGTAAGGCCTGTGGAACGTACAAACACTCAGATGTTAGAAACGTCGTTTGTATGATATCTGACTGTAAGGCCTGTGGAAAGTACAAGCACTCAGATGTTAGAAACGCCGTTTGTCAGATATATGACTGTAAGGCCTGTGGAAAGAACAAACACTCAGATGTTAGAAACGCCGTTTGTATGATATCCGAATGTAAGGCCTGTGGAAAGTACAAGCACTCAGATGTTAGAAACGCCGTTTGTATTATATCTGACTGTAAGGCCTGTGGAAAGTACAAGCACTCAGATGTTAGAAACGCCGTTTGTCAGATATCTGACTGTTAGGCATGTGGAATGTACAAGCACTCAGATGTTAGAAACGCCGTTTGTCAGATATCTGACTGTAGGGCCTGTGGAAAGTACAGGGAGACAATAGTTAGAAACGCCGTTTGTAGGATATCTGACTGTAGGCCTGTGGAAAGTACAAGAACTCAGATGTTAGAAACGCCGTTTGTCAGATATCTGACTGTAGGGCCTGTGGAAAGAACAAGCACTCAGATGTTAGAAACGCCGTTTGTATGATATCTGACTGTAAGGCCTATGGAACGTACAAACACTCAGATGTTAGAAACGCCGTTTGTATGATATCTGACTGTTAGGCCTATGGAAAGAACAAGCACACCGATGTTAGAAACGTCGTTTATTAGATATCTGACTGTAAGGCCTGTGGAAAGTACAAGCACTCAGATGTTAGAAACGTCGTTTGTCAGATATCTGACTGTAAGGCCTGTGGAAAGTACAAGCACTCAGATGTTAGAAACGCCGTTTCTCAGATATCTGACTGTTAGGCCTGTGGAAAGAACAAGCACACAGATGTTAGAAACGTCGTTTGTCAGATATCTGACTGTAAGGCCTATGGAAAGTACAAGCACTCAGATGTTAGAAACGTCGTTTGTCACATATCTGACTGTAAGGCCTGTGGAAAGTACAGGGAGACAGTAGTTAGAAACGCCGTTTGAAGGATATCTAACTGTTAGGCCTGTGGAACGTACAAACACTCAGATTTTAGAAACGTCGTTTGTATGATATCTGACTGTAAGGCATGTGGAAAGTACAAGCACTCAGTTGTTAGAAACGCCGTTTGTCAGATATCTGACTGTAAGGCCTGTGGAAAGTACAAGCACTCAGATGTTAGAAACGCCGTTTGTAGGATATCTAACTGTTAGGCCTGTGGAACGTACAAACACTCAGATGTTAGAAACGTCGTTTGTATGATATCTGACTGTAAGGCATGTGGAAAGTACAAGCACTAAGATGTTAGAAACGCCGTTTGTCAGACATCTGACTGTAGTGCCTAAGGAATGTACAAGCACTCAGATGTTTGAAACGTCGTTTGTCAGATATCTGACTGTAGGGCCTGTGGAAAGTACAAGCACTCAGATGTTAGAAACGCCGTTTGTATGATATCTGACTGTAGGGCCCGTGGAACGTACAAACACTCAGATGTTAGAAACATCGTTTGTCAGATATCTGACTGTAAGGCCTGTGGAATGTACAATCACTCAGATGTTAGAAAGGCCGTTTGTCAGATATCTGACTGTAGGGCCTGTGGAAAGTACAGGGAGACAGTAGTTAGAAACGCCGTTTTAGGATATCTGACTGTGAGGCCTGTGGAAAGTACAAGTACATAGATGTTAGAAATGCCGTTTGTCAGTGATTTGACTGTATGTGTAGGAAGTACATTCACAAATATCAAAAACGCCGTATGTCACAAATGTTACTCAATGTCTGTAGAAATGGTACACAGTTGTACGCCATATATCACAAACGGTACGTAATTCAGCTCGCTAAAGTCAGAAAGACTCACAATTCCCGCTGAATAAAATTTGTTACATTTTGTTACAAGATACATCGGCGAACCAATCCCTGTGACGTCTGCCTAGCAACATGGTAGCTGTGGGCATCGAGAGTGCATTTAACGATGCAGCAGCGAATGTCTCAGCAAGCACCAGTTTATGAAATCATTTCTATTTTCTGTTTCAGTATTGATTCAGTAATGTTTTGCAGAGGAACGGGGGTTATTAGGCACACTACATCAAAACTTCGCCAGGTCGAACACTATTAATCTACAGTTGGGTATTTTTGGCAATAAGTCAACTAGGTTTATACGAGCTATGTACGGGGTTGTACGCCTTCATCATGTATTTAAAGTGCTGTAGGGAGAAGCGTAGGCACTGCAGATAAATGTACTTGTCAGGGTACGTGCATTCCTGTTTTTTAATTGTTTTCAAATTTTGAGTTGCAATCATTGTTCACACGTAAACGCCGAGAGAGCAGGATGAAGTGGTTGGATGTGTAGTTGGAAGTATATTGACTAGAGAAAACTGTCGTGGAACTTTCACTCGTTACAATTATTATTATTATATTATTCACATTCCGACTCACCCTCGTGGGATAAGTAGTCATGCCTAAGCGAACTAAACGAATTATCAAGTACCCTGTTGCGTATCCGTGAATTCAACGTCTGACACCGAAGCCATTTTGAGTTCGCGCCACATTATTGTCGATTACGTTCAGGAACGAGTAGTGCCAATTGACATCGGCTGATCTCCAACCACACTCGTGACCACTCGCCTCATTCTAGAACAAGCGAAAGCATGCATTCTACACGTGCTCTGCTTTAACCAACATATGTTTACTAGCATGCAAACAACCCATTCATTTTTGGATTCGTAGAAAAGTTGTATTTAGAAAACATATTAAACATGTTTACGAGAATGAGGCAGTGAGGAATGCGTTTGTGACGCGTTTAGAAGTGGCGAATGTTATGGGTAAGCATCGTAGTGTTAGGGGTTACAATGAAGAAGAGCCGTTCTCCTTCTCACAGCTTCAAATCTTATGTTGTTATCATAGATAATATAATAAAACCATGTTTGCAGAATCATAAGAAATCTCTACTAAAATCAGAGCTCATTGTACTGTTCCGATCATAACATAAACATGTGTTAATGAATCAGTATCAATAGTAAATGATGCCAGGTGTTCGCGAAAAGGTGAGCGTATCCTGCCCCACCAGTGGCACCCGTCACACACACATGCAAGTCAACTATTTACCTGAAACAACACGCGTTCACCATAAAATGTTTTGAAAGCTTTTACTAAAGGTATTGAATGTTGTTACCCTGATCTGACAACTTTTGGTCAATCTTGGGATACTCTTTTAAATCTTTGAAGAAAGAGCATGTTCAAGTGTACCTCAAAATGTGGACACCGAAGGCTGGGACTGCTGACCTAAAGGGAAAGTTGACTGTTGGAAACTTAAGTCACCCCTCTTGTCATAAAAGTTTGGTGGAGAGATTTAGATCATTCTGAATCTTTCTGCATAGATCTAAATATGAAACAGTCGAGACGGTTTCAAGGGTCTCTTTTATTTCTAGATCAGGCTGCAAATCAGTAGAAGGGAATTAGCTATTTGACCATTATTGAACAATATCAGATCATCGATATACCTTGTGTTTAAGTTACACTTCTTGGCCAAAGACACGTGTTTTGATGTTGCTAATCCGAGCAGATAAATTTTTTTCATATGAATAAAGAAACAGGTCAGCAAGAAGTGTTGAATAGACGTATTCACCTGCATCCTATGTTCTTTCGACTCACCTTTATTCCAACATGGCTGTTGTGCTCATCTATTTTGGCTCGTATGTCTTTGCCTGATTTTCTTGCCCGTTTCAAAAATTTCCTTGTGAATTTTAATCCAAATCGTATGTTGTGGCCACATCCACCCCACATCCAGGCTTTAGTGTTTTCTAAATGTTTAGATTCATCACACGTGCATCTGTCCAAAGAGCCCTTGCTGCAAGCACTCGCAAAGGCGTGCACCAGACCGGCTGATGATATCGCATACAAGAAGGACGTTTCTTTAAATCCTGGAATAAACAATATTCAGCCTTGATAAACGAAAATTACAAAAGTCTTCATAGTACAATGTTAGCAGTGCTTAGTATTCAGGGTTATACGACAGTGAGATACACTTAGCAGATATCATTGTTTTATAAACATTCTGTTTAAGTCCCTATATGCTATTGATCAGCTATCGGCCTGTATTCAGGTTCTCCTCAGTTATGAATGTGATGTAGTAAGTCATATTTAAAGTAAAGCAGAAGGCTGTAAGATGTTAGGTACAATGGTCTAAGTAAAGCAGAAGGTTGTCCGATGGTACTACAATGGTTTAAGTAAAGCAGAAGGCTGTCCGATGTTAGGTACAATGGTCTAAGTAAAGCAGAATGCTATACGATGTTAGGTACAATGGTTTAAGTAAAGCAGAAGGATGTACGATGAAAAATACAACGGTCTGAGTAAAACAGACGGCTGTACGAGATTAGGTACAATGGTCTAAGTAAAGCAGAAGGTTGTCCGATGTTAGGTACAATGGTCTAAGTAAAGCAGAAGGATGTAAGATGTTAGGTACACTGGTCTAAATAAAGCAGAAGGTTGTCAAATGATGGTACAATGGTCTAAGTAAAACAGAAGGATGTAAGATGTTAGGTACACTGGTCTAAATAAATCAGAAGGTTGTCCGACGTTAGGTACAATGGTCTGAGTAAAGCAGAAGGATTTACGATGTTAAGTACAATGGTCAAAGTAAAACAGATTGCTGTACAAGATTAGGTACAATGCTCTAAGTAAAGCAGAAGCTTGTTCGAGATTAGGTACAATGGTTTAACTAAAGAAGAAGGTTGTTCGAGGTTAGGTATAATGGTCTGAGTAATGCAGAAGGCTGTACGATGTCAAGTACAATGGTCTAAGTAAAGCAGAAGGCTGTCCGATGGTAAGTACAATGATCTAACTAAAGCAGAATGCTATGCGATGTTAGGTACAATGGTTTAAGTAAAGCAGAAGGATGTACTATGTTAAGTACAATGGTCTAAGAAAACATAAGGTTGTTCGATGCTAGGTACAATGGCTAAGTAAAGCAGAAGGTTTTACGATGTTAGGTACAATGGTCTAAGTAAAACAGAAGGCTGTACGAGATTAGGTACAATGGTCTAAGTAAAGCAGAAGTATGTACGATGTTAAGTACGATGGTCTAAGTAAAACAGAAGTATGTACGATGTTAAGTACGATGGTCTAAGTAAAACAGAAGGTTGTACGAGATAAGGTACAATGGTATAAGTAAAGCAGAAGGTTGTAAGATGTTAGGTACAATGGCCTAAGTAATACATTAGGCTAAAGAATGTCAGGAATAATGGTCTAAATGAATCAGTAGGATACTTCAGCTGAAGAATATGATGAATATTTGACTAAGCGAAGCAAAACATGCAAAACAGGAGACTGTCAGGTGGTAGACATAATGGCATGAGTGCTGTAGAAGGATGTAGGGTGGTAGACATAATGATATAAGTGCTGTAGAAGGATGTAGGGTGGTAGACATAATGATATAAGTGCTGTAGAAGGATGTAGGGTGGTAGACATAATGATATAAGTGCTGTAGAAGGATGTAGGGTGGTAGACATAATGATATAAGTGCTGTAGAAGGATGTAGGGTGGTAGACATAATGATATAAGTGCTGTAGAAGGATGTAGGGTGGTAGACATAATGATATAAGTGCTGTAGAAGGATGTAGGGTGGTAGACATAATGATATAAGTGCTGTAGAAGGATGTAGGGTGGTAGACATAATGATATAAGTGCTGTAGAAGGATGTAGGTTGGTAGACATAATGGCATGAGTGCTGTAGAAGGATGTAGGGTGGTAGACATAATGATATAAGTGCTGTAGAAGGATGTAGGTTGGTAGACATAATGATATAAGTGCTGTAGAAGGATGTAGGTTGGTAGACAAAATGACATGAGTGCTGTAGAAGGATGTAGGTTGGTAGACATAATGATATAAGTGCTGTAGAAGGATGTAGGTTGGTAGACATAATGATATAAGTGCTGTAGAAGGATGTAGGTTGGTAGACATAATGATATAAGTGCTGAAGAAGGATGTAGGTTGGTAGACAAAATGACATGAGTGCTGTAGAAGGATGTAGGTTGGTAGACATAATGATATAAGTGCTGTAGAAGGATGTAGTGTGGTAGACATAATGATATAAGTGAAGAAGATGGCTGAAATATGGTAGGAATAACGATCCCAGTGAAGCACAAGACTGAAGGATGACAGCGTTAACTGTGTAAGTGGAGCTTAAGTATGAAGTATTGTAGGAATTACCGTCAAAGTGAAGCACAGGACTGAATTATGATAGGGTTAGCGGTGTTAGTAAAGCAGAAGGCTGAAGTATGGTAGGAATAACGGGACTTAGGGACAATAGGGTTAACGGTGTAATTGTAACAGAAGGCTTGGAAGGTTTGGATTGAAAACGGAATTTGGTATTATCTATGTTACATGATATAGTCATCTGACACGGAATAGCAAGGTAGGGCAGGCGTAGGTATTTCTTTTTTAAAACTAGCCTTTTCGGAGGAGTTTCTGCCTGTACTGTGCCAGGGTACAGTTCCATCTCTCCATGCTAAACTGATGTGCACATTCCATTGAAGCTAATCGAAGAGCTTGCACGAGCGTCATTGCTATTCCCTTTCCACGCCTGCACATTTTCTTCTGTTGCCGTGGCAGATAGAGCGTATCGCACACCTTCGCCTTGGAAAGATTGTAAATGCTGCTCTCGTCATCCTTGTGGGCAGTCAACAGCTCATTGATGCTGAGTGCTTCTCTTGCAGTCAATCTGCAACAAATATCGGGACTTGCAGAATAGTATTACTGTTTTGGAAAATCATTTCTACTCATCTACGGTACGATTTTAACAATATCAAGAAGACGAGCTAATTTGATTTGTGAGTTATGGTTTTATTACTATGGTCACCTATAATATGACGGAACGAAATGTTCGAAATGACGACAGATCAACAGGGCCAACCCTTTCTGCTGGTGACGTCATGTACATACAGAGGGTCTATGACGTCCAGGAATTAGGCTTGTTACTTTCGTTTTAGAAAAGATGACGGTACGATGAAGTTTATAACATCATGGTTAAATAACAAAAATAGAGTAAAAGTAAAATATCCATAGATTAATCTACGAGCGAGAGGCGTTGTCCGTTTCACTCTTCTTAAAGCGATCAGCGTTACATTTAAACATAAAAAATAGTCAGTTGCCATCTCAAAGGAAAATCCAAATATCTGATTTGAGGAAGAAGTGTGTTAATTTGTAAGATTCAATACTATCAACATTACGAATCATCGTTTTCAGACAAATGTACACCGTTAGTCATTCTTGTGTAACCATGGCTCACTTAATGCCAGAATAACATTTTTACAGAGGTCCGTTATTATCTTGTCGTCCGTCAAGACAGAAGGATCATATCTCACACAAAGGGAAAGTCAATTCTTACAATATTTTATATCACTATTTTATACCTGGAATAGGCCTAGATCTCTATACAATTTTTTTTAGTACGTGTGACTTTATGTATATACAAACAACCATACAACAACCAACTGTGCGGATTAAAATAGTTCCTCAAAAAAAGGGGACGTGAGCGTAGGTATGCTCAACTTGCTCTACAGGAACACCTGTTGTAGCTTGTTTACTACAAATTTATTTAAATACAATCGTCATTGACGTCATATAGCTGGAATATTGCTGAGTGCGACGTTAAACAAGAAACAAACAAACTAATAACCCTACTTGAGGATGCGAAGTGGTATTGAGGCGGACGTAAAATCTTGTAGACAGACCCAACAGACACCAGAAAAAAAAGGTTGTAAAAGAATGTTCCCCACCCCTTGACTGCAGGGTGTGGTGAAATCGGGGGTGTGGTGTGTGTGGAGGCGGTAGGGGAGGGGGGGAGGTGATTGTACTACGTCTGCCCTAATGCCGACTTTAGAGTGCTAGCCCACAGATGCCATGTCGCTGTTTAACATGAATACTCAGACACAGTATACTAAATCCGAGCCGACCAGTTTGTTAGCCCCTTAATGCCGAGTGCCAGATGGGGTAACGTCTTGAGTATGACGCGGCCGGGGATCGAACCCCCGGCCTAGCGCTCTCTGGGAGACGCTCTACCACTACAGCACCAGTCTTGATGGTAAGGCTATGTCAACTTTTATATAAACTGAACCAAATTAAAAACTTCACAATCCTAAGATTTTAACATTTTCACCAGTTATCATTGTGGGCCCTTATTGTGTATTTAAACAGTAATGGCCACGTATTGTCTTCAGATAACACCCGTTTTTGTGCAAGTGAATCGATCAGAATCATGTGCACAGCACTACAGTGGCAAAAGTGGTTTTTCACGTGCAACTGGTCACGTGGCCATAATACCGCACGAGTTTTCAGCCATACTTGTTATCAGTCATTAACAAAAAAAGAAAAACACAAGAAAACAAAAGTCTTTACGGCCATTTGTCATGCCACGCCTTTCAAATGTGCAACGTGAACGTGCCATCGGCATGTTGCAGACGGGAACGTCCGTAGCTGAAGTCGCAAGGACGATGGGTTGTAGTCGACGGACTGTTTATGATTTACAGACGCGTCTACAGCAAACGGGTACCACCGCTGATCGCGCTCGGCCAGGTTGACCACGTGTGACGTCACATGCAGAGGATCGTCAGATTGTCTTACGTCACCTGCGTAACCGATTTTTGACGGCTACATCAACCAGAAATGAACTGTTTAGGGGTAGACTGAGTGCGCAAACTGTTCGAAACCGTCAGAGAACTGCTCACCTTCAAGCACGACGGCCATAATGCGGGCCGATTCTGACTCAATTACACAGACGTCAACGTCAATTGTGGGCACAGCGACACTTACGATAGTCTTAGAGGAATTGGAATCAAGTCGTCTTCAGTGATGAATCCCGATTTAATCTTCGATTTGCTGATGGTAGGGCGAGGGTGTGGAGGCGCCGTCATGAACGTTACGCCCAGTGTTGTGTACAGGAAGTTGACAGATTTCGAGGCGGAAGTGTCATGGTGTGGGTGCTTTCTGTGGCAATGCATGTTCCAGGCTTCTTGTCATCCGTGGCAACCTCAACGCTGCTGCTTACTGCGACCAGGTACTGGCACCAGAACTTCTGCCTTTTATGGCAGCACATGGACCCGGTTTGATCTTCCAACACGACAATGCCAGACCCCACACTGCAATTTTGACAAAGAATTTTCTTCAGAATGCGGGAGTCAACGTCATGGACTGGCCGTCAAGGTCTCCCAACCTCAATCCCATCGAACACGTCTGGGATGCTCTTCGCAGAAGTCTGCGCACTCTCAAGAACCAACCACAGAATTTGCAAGATCTTGGCACCATTTTGCAGCAACAATGGCGTCGTCTTCCCAATCATGTGTTCACAAGCATCACAAGGTCCATGCGGAGGCGTTGTGTGGCAGTTGTCAACGCACATGGTGGCCATACACGCTACTGAACTTGTGTGCCATCAGATTCTCGTGCTTGGGACTTATGATTTAAACTGTTGATGTTATTACCGAATACCGTAGGTGCTTGGAACAAATTATGGTTACCACCGTTAATTAAAATCCTTCTTTGGACATTAATGATTATAAATTACCTTCTCTGATACATTCGTCCGTTGTATATCATATATGGGATTACTTTTTAAAATGTGAAGTTTTTAATTTGACTCAGTATATATTCAAGACTATATATATATACTGATACGCACCAATATTTGGATTTTGGATCATGTCACCCGTATCATACAAAACGTAATATCCCTTACTGTCTCGCAAGACGTATTTGTACAATTGTTTCCGGGAATGATGTTAAAATTACCCGCCTTGCGGAACTTAAGAGTTTCCTTCTGCATCAATATTATCCCGCAAAGCTAAATGAAGATAGCATACAGGAGGTGCTAAGTATTGAGCAATCGTCCGCATATTATCAGAAATGAGCGGGCCACGTGCACTGTAACTTGATAATGCCCTCATATTGCTTGACGACGGGCCATTATCACGCCCGTTGTTAGGTGACGTCATAGGGTAGGGATAGGTGACGTCACGTTCAATAGTGACGTCATCTGGTTTGTTCACTGACGTTTCCATATTTGTAAAAGTGGGTCAGTGACATTCGTGTTGATTGCAGTAAATGTTTCCAAACCGATATTGTTTCTTTTATCTTACAGCAAATTCCATCCATTTTAGCTATAATGAGGGTAACGCTATTTTTCAAGGCATTATCATTTGCAGAAGCCCTCGGTCTTTTCAACCGCCCTCCTCCGTCGGGCAGTTCAAGGATTGACTGTGTATTTTTTTCGTGTAACGGATTCTTACAAAAGTTTGCACATTGGTTTTTCGATTCATACCTCAATGAACCGAAAAAATACACAGTCAATGCTTATAACTAAATTCGACAGCATAAAACATGTTTAATCTACAATAGTTTAACCAAAAACAGTTGTATATATCAAAACAGACAAAAGTGACGAGATTTATGAACATTCCAGGTGTAGGAATACATACTGTGGCGTGACATGAATTATTGTTTAATTTATGCACATAAATTGACACGTCTACACTGTCAGTAGCCAATCAACGGAGAGCAGGATCAAAACAATGTTCATTGGACCTGTCAGTTAAGACAAGAGGCGAAAAGAACTGCAACAGTCAGACTGTTACGAACTGGAAGAAATATGTCCGAGAGAAGGCGGCTGTTTCAAATTACGTGGTCAGTTACCGCCAGATTCAAACATTACTTCCCTGATTACGGTAAAACACAGTTGGAAAAATGCTAGTTAGAAAGGAAACCCGAAGACATGAAAGTTGAACCGAGGCGAGCAGAAAAAAAACAGGCGAGCGAGCCTGCACGTTTGCTGTTTCATTCATTCTCGGCCAACGGTTTCAAAGGGTAGTTTGGACAATGCATATGCATGAAAGTCGCTAAATGTCCTGTGCATGACGATACACGTGAGCAGAAAGGGAATTGTTTGTACACAAACGCGCTTTTTTCAGAAATCAGTATAGAACGGACTAATGCAAGTATTTGGGGGCGCTTTACATATTGTTTTGCATAACTATATAGATATGCTACTACAACTGCGACAGTGAGTTGCATGACAATATATATTTATGCATCAAATTGACCGTGTCGCTAGCTCTCCGTTGGGCTTCGGTGACAGCACGTGGAGCCGTACAACCAATGTAAACATAGGATAACTACGAAAAAACAAGTAGATTTAAGTTAACCATTCTTTGACATTTGTTTATGAAAATGTGTAGACTTGTCAAACATGAAACGGATGAAAAGCATATGCAATATCTTGAATGGACTGTGAAAGATGTGACGAATCGTCACATGGCGCTGGCCTGTGGCAGAGGTACTACGCTAGCTGGCTGCCGGCCGCATGGAACTCTGGGTAGGAGAGTGACATTCATTGGGAAATGAATGCAATAACACGTGACCAATTCAGCTAATCAGAATACAGGAATTTCAATGAACACAACGAAAATTTAATTATATGATAATGCCCTGAAAAATAGCGTTTCCCTTATATCATGAATCTACATTGTTTCAAAAAAGAGCAACATTTCATGTTGTAAAGGCGTAAGTTATTTGTCCATTGTCACCTTGGTATTGTGACGTCAAAGTTCTCCTAAATGTTATGACGTCACGTAACTATATGTTACTACTTCATGTCCATTATTCAGCACACTCCGTCGCAGTGGTGACTCAGCATAACACCACTGCCACAGGCTAATTTGCATATCACGT